TTTTTCATTTGAAATTTGGCAGTCACTGTGCGTTCGCGAAAGCGAAAATGCAAACGGTAATGCAGGATTTGCAATTGCATTTGGATTGTGTCACAATTTATGCGTCCACATATTGAAAACGCAATTGAAAATACAATTTGCAATTCCTTTTGAAAATTGTCCGGAATATCGTTCCATACAGATTTGTTATGTGACAGCATTAATTAAAGTTTCTTAAGGGTCAAGATCATGTTATCTGCGTCTCCTGCTATAATTGTATTGGAGTCTTACACACATGCTGTACAGATAATGTAAAGTTATTATTTCATCATGAATAAATCTTTCAGTGAGTAAAACTGGCTGTGTCTATAGTATTATTGACTACACAACATTATTATTATTTTCAAATTAATTTTTTAATTATTATTGTAAATTACTGTCCCTGGATCAGTAGGGTACTCTTCTAATAAAGTAGCAGTGGCTGGGACAGATTTTAAGTATCAATTCTGCTTAAAAAGATGCGATCTAATCCTGTCTACATGAAATAAGCTGCTCCCGAGCAGGTTTAAGCTCACGGACCTGTTGCTATGAAGCAACTCCGGGATGAGCTTCGAAGAACCAAACTATCCAAGATCAGGCCAAATCATCAACAATCAAATCCAGCTAATGGAGTTAGCGACGTACGAAGAACGGGCCCCTGTTTTGTGGATTACCCTTTTGCCTTGCCCTCTGGAGTTGTTTATCTTTTGGACTTACTGGTTTGGACCTTCTGCCTGTTCTTAAACCGTGTACTTGGATTTTGCCCTGTTTTCAATAAACGCTGCACTTGGATCTGCAACTTATAAATCTCTGAGCAGTTCATGTGACAAATAATAACAGCATGGTGAGGCGGTGGTCATGCAAAACGACTATTCAAATTGAGCAGTACAATGTTTTACGTTTGGTTGACTATTTTATTTTAATAATGAACAGGCTTGCACAATTATAGGCAGTTATACATATTGAAATTTGTTACAAATGGTAGTTAAAGACTGATCAATAAAAAAAATAATAATCTGGGCCAGTATTCACAAAACATCTTAAAGCCAAATGTAGCTCATAACTCACCAATTTAGGAGAAAATCTCTAAAATAATGGGCGTGTCAGTCCTAAATTTAGGACTCCTAAATTTTTGCTCTAAGAGTATTTTACAAAGCGTTTTAGCGCTAAAACTAGCTCCTAAAACTGTGTAAAGTTAGGAGTAGTGAAGAGGACTTTTAAGTCACGAAGATCAAGCCACAAACTATCCTAAAATGGCTGTTGCCGGCAATCTGCCTCGGAACGTAAAAATTTTAGAAACATTTGACCATAATGACCTTTTAAAAAGGTATCGCCTTTGGTCTTGGAGGTTATCCCAACTCCAAAATTTCCTTTGATTATATGCTTGTTTTCATTAACCAGTTGGGTAAGAAGTAACAGCTGTTCTTGCATCCAGTTTGGTTTTCTTTTACATTTGCATGTCTTACTATCAGCCATGATTATTCTAGACTGTTAATTTTGACCCATACAATGTTTTTTTGGCTATTGCTACAAATTTACCCAAGCGACTTAAGACTGGTTTTGTGGTCCAGGGTCACATATATTTTTGTTTCATAAGGGTTGCTCATGTCCACTATGATCCTGCTGTTCTTCTAGATCTCTGTTACCTGCAAGAACTGGCTGTGATCCTGTGTGTGTGAAAGCTGCTCCAGCTCAGCGTCTCTCCTCCTCAGATCATTGATCTCCTGTTTCAGTCGCTCCAGTCGTCCTTCAGCTCGACTCACTGCAGCCTTCTCCTGATCTCTGATCCGCTGTGTCACCTCAGAGCGGCGCCTCTCAATGGAGCGGATGAGTTCAGTAAAGATCCTCTCACTGTCCTCCACTGCTGTCTGTGCAGAGCGCTGTTAGGACACACAGCGAGTCAGGCTTCAGTGGGACTGAACTGAGACGGAGACAAACTTCTCTTCTTCTCCAGACTCACCTTATGAGACTCCACAGCCTCTCTCAGCTGCTGAAGATCTTTCTCTCTCTGTTGGATTCTCTGCTGGAACCTCCTCTGCGTCTCCTTCAGCTGCTTCTGGAGCACCATAACGGGTAATGTCACATTCACTATTCACTTGAAATACTGTCACTAAATCATCAAGTGAAAAGCTGATATGAATTCAGTATCTGCGAAGTGGTGAGACTGAGGGGTTAAAGTTCTAACATTGTTAGATAAGTTCAAGTACAAGTGTCGTCATATTTTATCAGTGCCTAGTTTTATAGACCCCTTTTCTGTTAGTAAACGCTGTGACGTTTTTCTGTGGGTGGAGCTTAGGTGGAGGCAGAAAGATTTCTCTGACTGCTTCACTAACGCTAGCTATGAAGTTTGGTTAGCTGTTTTATTTTTATTTTTTTAACAATGACTGAAGAAAATCAGATTTTGCCTGAATATGTAAGGTCACTCACTGTCTGGGACCGCGATTGTTATTTGAGTGAGCATGTACAGGTCGGCCAATCTGGTTTAATCCGTTAACTTTTTCAAAGGATGGACGATCTGACAGGATTACCTCCGGTTGAGTGTCTAACAAGAATAAAGAGAAACTCACCTGTGTCTATCTAGTCATGAAGATGTATATATATTTCAATTTCAGCAGGCAACTACACTATCGTTCAAAAGTTTGGGATCAGTAAGACTTGTAATGTTTTTTAAAGAAGTCTCTTAAACTCATCAAGGCTGCATTTATATAGTAAACAGCAAAAATACAGAAAAAAAAACAGTAATCTTGCAAATTGTTATTAAAATATAAAATAATGGTTTCTATTTTAAAGGTGGGGTAAGCGATTTCTGGTAGCCAAAGTTGACATTTGAAATCACCAAAACAAACACACCCCTATTTTGATAGCTCCGCCCCACACATGCGTACGCAACCCAGGCAACGATTAGTTCTGTGAAACAAAGCAAAACCAATGTTACACCGTGTCTACACCGGACGCGAGTGGCGCGGCAC